CACACACACACACACACACACACACACACACACACACACACACACATACATTATATGCATGCCTAGATGCAAGGATGCACACACATTTTTTTTTTTTTTTTTTGGGGGGGGGATGATTTTTTCTTTTTTTATAATAAAGTTAATATACTGTGTTACAAAAGTGGCTGGCTGGGGGGTAATTATTTTCTGTAAGGCACAACGGACTGAAAAGAAATCCAGTTTGTATGAGTGTGTGTGTGTGTGTGTGTGTGTGTGTGTGTGTGTGTGTGTGTGTGTGTGTGTGTGTGTGTGTGTGTGTGTGTGTGTTTGTGTGTGTGTTTGTGTGTGTGTTTGTGTGTGTGTTTGTGTGTGTGTTTGTGTGTGTGTTTGTGTGTGTGTTTGTGTGTGTGCGTGTGTGTGTGTGTTCTGTGTGTGTTTGTGTGTGTTTGTATGTGTGTTTGTGTGTGTTTGTGTGTGTTTGTGTGTGTGTGTTTGTGTGTGTGTGTTTGTGTGTGTATGTATGTGTGTTTGTGTGTGTATGTATGTGTGTTTGTGTGTGTATGTATGTGTGTTTGTGTGTGTGTTTGTGTTTGTGTTTGTGTTTGTGTGTTTGTGTGTTTTTGTGTGTGTGTATCCATTGTAATGGATACTTATCCATTACAATGGATATGTATCAATTTGCACAACTGCAGTTATTTTTTGTTTATCATCAACCAAGAAAGCTTCTCTGCATAAAAGCATGAAAAAAAAAAAAAAATAAAGGAAAGTCCAGTATAAGGATTGACAGCAGGAAATGAGCCACACACTTGACAATTATGACAACTTTCCCATACTCCACTCTAGTAGCATACTTACATTAACATAACAATTTTCACAAATATCACAACATAGTATCAACAAGACATCATATACATATACCTTTTCAAAGCTTCAAAAAAGAAACTACAGCAGAAGTGAAAACTATTAAGCATTTTTGATGTAAAATCTAAAATTCATGTAAGAAATGTTACCTATATTGCTAGTGAATACATACACAAATATGTGGCTGGTTGATTATTGCTGCTTGCCTTATAGCCAATTATATAAAGAAGCAGTTTAATGCTTGTTTGGTAGATTATTTTGAAGTTTGGCTCAGCAAAATGAGCTTAAAACTTGTGGATTTTGATTAAATGTATGTAGTATAACTATGATGCTTTTTCCCTTTTTAAGCTTTAGGTATCAACAGAGGAGGAGGTGTGGTTTAACATGGAAAAGGAACCCCTTGAAATTGTTGCTTTGTAATGCAACACTGAAAAGGTTTTGCAGCCTAAAGGGAATACCAAGAAGTAATACATGTACAACAACAAGTTAAATGTTCCATTTCAAAGTCATTTAAAAGCTGGTCTGCACTTTCATAGCAATTATTTATATCCTTAAAGTTCTCACCTCCAAATGTCCACAGACAAAAAGTAGTCATGTAACAAAATACATGTCTGGAAGCATATATATGAAAATGGAGCAATTACATTGCCTGCCATATTAAGAAAATATATGAGTAGCATACCAAACACCATCTTGGTACAACATCTTCAAGATCTGAATGTTAGAAGCATATCAACATTCAAACTGACCCAGAAAATTCAAATTTCTATAAAAAAAAAAGAGAGAGAAAAAAAAATTATTGACCATAAAACTAGGAGACTTACCTGCCTTTAACCCGTTTTATAAGGTAACACCAATTTCAGTGTCATGAAGTACAGTGGAATATACTGCGATGCCAATGTTGGCGTCATAACTTCATTTGTTAGTTGCTGTTGAGTGATCCTGTATTCTGTTCTGGCTCTATTTTTTAGACTGTATATCCCAAGAGATTTTATAGCTGCACCCACCATCCCTCTTCCCACCAGTCACATAAGTCAGCTAGACTATGAGGAATTATCACTGGCAGAGTCTAGGTTACAGTTTCTCCCTCTGTGGTCCTTCCCTTGTCCTCCTTATTGGGAGACTGTATGGGGGTACACTTTCCCCCCTCCCTAGTTCATTCCTCAGGCTCTTACTGTCCTCTCCCTCTCCTTCATTCCTCAAACATTTTACCCTAGATAACTTTGAACAATTGTATATTTGATGATCTTGGCATTTCTCTCTTTCTCTCTCTCACACACACACACAAACATATGTATGCAAAGCATTTATGATGCATTATTGAGCATCAGGTATTGATAACTGGTGAAAACATGTAGTGAACAGATGTCTATTATTTCAGAAATATAGTTTACCTTTCCCAAGAAATCAACTTGAGGCTTCCTTGAGTCTTGCCTTTCAACTTTCTGTGTGTATGTGTTTATGTGTGTGCATGTGCGTGTGCATGTACGTGTGAGTGAGTGAGAGAGAGAAAGAAACTGTATTTAATAAGAGACTCTCAGGATTACACATTCAAAGTTACCGCTTGCAGGCTAGTTTTAAACCATCTGGTTAAGAAAGCATGTATACATATCTATTGTATGTACATATACTCAATATCCATAAATAAATTAACAACATT